GCCCCTTTGAACCAATATTTATGTGTTCAAACAACAACGAACATCGGCCCTGTTGGCCTTTGTCTGATGAAATCTGTTCATAGATTCAAAAGGCTTGTTTACCTTTTTCCAACCTGCCTCACTTGTGGCGTAAGCGAGATATCCGTCTGTCAAAAAAGGACAAGTTCACTGTGCAGCAGTTCGCTTCGTTCTGCTTTATGATTGTGAAACAATCATTAAAAATAATTTATGTTCGTAGATTACTAGTATTCGATCATGGGTGTCTATGAAGCGCTGCTCATGTGTTTTGGGACCGCCGAATTAGCAATGCCTGGGTTACGAATAGTTTACTAGCTAGGGATGGCAAATAGATTAATGAGGTAGTAAATTTTCAACCGAGTTCGTTGGGGCATATGTTTCGTATTCCCACTGACCGTGTACCTTGACTGGCAATGTTTTCTGGAGCATAGGTAGGCTGTCCTCAGATGCCCTGGTATGGCCGAGAGTGGGGTGGGCCCGCCCTCCCTCTCGAAATGCTCTCACACGGCCACGCGTATACAGCCCCTGCCAGGGAAGTCCTACTCACTGCCTTCTCATGGCGGGGATGTTGTTTACGAAATCGAGAGAACGAAAAGCGAATGTCCGGCGCTTTAACCGGATCTCAAACCAATGGTGCACATGGGCTCCAGTATCCTGCGGGAACAAATGGCGTATGAACTAATCGTTGGTCACCGGCTACCATGGAAATGCATCTCCTCACGGTGCTCCACTACCCTATGGATCAGACCTTTAGGTCAAAGGCTCGGGGTGTGACCCCCTAAGAAAACCACCTGCCTCGGTCTGGGCACCCGGGCAGTACCACAGCCCACACACACAAATATGGTGTGGCGCATATATATTTGGTGCCCTCTTGTACCAATATTTATGTGTTGAAATAAATAAAATAAATAAATAAACATAGGTAGGCTGAAAGAAAGGTAGGGATGATCAAGCTAAGACTTGGCATCAGTTCGTGAAGTCACTAACAGTTGGACATAGCCATGTTAATAGGTACAGGCTATCTGGTTGGAATCCGCGTGATCATCGTAACCAATGGTTAGAGACGTTGAATGACATGCTGTAAAATCGTTTGCAATGGCGTAGGTGCATCCGTTCTTTGTCCTCCCCGAATCCTAAGATTCTAAATTCTTCATAACTTTTTTTCGTCTCTACTTCGGCCATTTATATTTTCTTTTCGATTCGTATCTCCGATCCCTAATCTTTTCTATTACCACTGATACTGTTACTACCCCTACTATTCTATGACTTGGTCTGGCAACTTCATCTGTCTTTGCTAATGGGGTATGACAACTTGAACCTATGTACATACGTATAGGTTCTACATTGTAACTGACTGACTCTGCAAGGTTAATTTTGCGGAAATTATCAACAGATGAGCAACACACAACATTATAGATATTCTTTGTTGGATTTATTTGATAACAAAGTTAAAACTCATGCCGAAATTATGTTCAGCTACATTATGGGTTGCTTTTTAGTACAAAGGCTAATAGCTTTGCTTTGACTTGACTTGGTTCAGATCTTTTCTGTAATATTGTTCCCACAACTTGACAAGTCTAGCGATGTACAACATCATAGCTTAACCATCTAATGTAGACTGTTCGTCTCATATTTCCCTCTACCACCCTGTTTATCAAAATGCCAACCTGTACAAATTTTGTTAAGTACATTTGACTACCACCTGAAAACAAATTAAGTTTTGTGGAGTGTGACTGTTTTCGATAAAACCAATTAAACTGAAACAATGATAGGGTAGCCTTTAGGTACTATTAACAGTAGCTGGTTCCTATAATCAAAGACGGATAGTGGCTAGTGGTGGATTTCACTATTAGCCTCCATTCCTCTTTGCTTATAATGCTTGTGACTTAAAGCAATATCGAAGCAATCCGCACAGGATGCATATGTGCCACTAGGAAACTGATCAGTTGCAATCCAGAACATCAATGGGAGGATCCAATCAAGTTAAAATGAGCTAATCCGCGTCGGGTAGAGACAGGTATTTACCTCAGTACAATGGAAGATGGTCGCGCAATTTCGTGGATTGGTTGATGTTAGACACTAACACCATTGGATGCCAGCTCAGTCGTCCAGTAGGTTAAGCGTTCGCGTGCGAGACCGAAGGCACTGGGTTCGAATCCTGCGAGCGGGGTCGTGGATGCGCACTGCTGAGGAGTCTCACAATAGGACGAAACGACCATCGGGCTTCCAGGTGTCCAACGGTGGTCTAATTCCTAGCTAATAGACTTGTGTAATTTTGGATGAATTAGTTCCCATTTAGTTTTCTAAGTGCTTTTGCCACTAAATGTCTCAGTATTTATGACTGTGAACACCGGTAGTTTTTTCTGGGGTCATGCTCTATGAGTAGGATGTTTTAGTTGCAGAGCTTTCATTCTCGTTTTGGACAACACTGATATTAATGCATTTAAGCAACTTTGGACATAAATTCAATTGAAAAAACTTTAGAATTCTGAGCCGGGAAACTCTAGGGATCCCAGAGAATTCCTAGAAGCATGGCCTTCATGCTAATTAGCGAGCAATAGGCACATCAACGTAGATCTAATAAATAAACCAACATAGAAGTTGGCCAATAGCAAAGCCCAACGTTGACGGATAAAGACAACTTAAATACAAGGATAAATCAAGATAACAAAATACACATGAACAAGGGCTTGTGTGCATTATGGTCTTGATTTTCTTGCAGCTGTATAATTCTTAGGTTCACAAGATCGTTATACCTAGTTGCACATGCTATTGTTGTGAATTTATTGATTAACATGCCATTTGATTTGAAAAAGCAGACATTTACTAAATTTACCAAGTGCTATCATTTTTAAGGTTTAAAAGCGGCTTCCTATATGATACACTGAAAATGTCGGCTGTTCTATTTGTCACTAAATGTGCTGTCAACCATGTTTATTGTTGACAAAGGTTTCAATAATGAGGATGTTCACATAAAAGCGTAAATGTGTCTTCTTGTTTCGATGTTCATTAAATATATTCAGTTTCACGTGACGTCTTCAATGTTGTACATAAATATCTTATTTGACTTGTAATGTCCCCCTATAATTCTAAGGAAACAAAGTATGGTGCCATAGTATAAAGATCTCTTGTATTCTGTCTCCGAATCGCAACCGAAATAATCAAGAAATTCATCTTAGCTAATTGTCATGCTAACACTGCTGATCTGGAGTTCAACTAGGCTGTAAATTAGTTAATCTACTGTACTCTGTTTGCTGTGGTCTCGGCATATCCACTTGATAAGTTGATGTTCCCATGACAAACAAGACAATATAGAACCTCCTGATCATGCATTTGTCAAAGTTGTCACTTTCTATGTGTAAATTATTCTCCACCTCATTGTTAATTAAACGCTAATCCTCATGATATAGATGTATATGAGCTATACCTTTGTAGTAACTGCCGTTATGATAAAAATAGGGCGATAATTTCATTGATAGCGCTATAAACGTGTATTCACCAAGCAAATTGAAGCAAGTGAGTTCTTAATATTGAGATCTGACTTTTGGTATGCTTGTTATTATACGGTTTCCATCTCATTCCTCAAAACCGTCATCTTGTTTCATATAGCACATTCCATGATGGTCGATTGTAGAAATTTATTTCATTCCTCAATAAACAGTTTAGGCAATTCTAAGAGTAAACATGTGACGATGATTCGCAACTATAGGTAGCTATTGATAGTTACTAATCTAGACATTGACTCCTACACAAGACTCCCAAATATTTTTTGTAGTTGATGTAATTACTTATTTCATAGCTCTCTTTCCGAATTCAGCACTGTTTTCCTAGTCATGATACAGGCGTAATGTGCATTATTTTATTTTCAAATAATTTAAGGTTTCTTATGAAATTGTCCCATGAGACGGTAACCATTGAACTAAAAAACGGTACGCAGGTTCACGGAAGTATTGCTGGTGTTGATGTGTCAATGAATACACATATGAGGTCCGTTACTTTGACACTTAAAAATCGGGATGCGATTAACTTGGACACACTAACTGTTCGCGGAAACAATATCCGATATTTCATTCTCCCAGAAAGTCTTCCACTTGATACACTTTTAATTGATGAAGGCCCTCCGAAAAGAAAACCTGGACGGGAAGGTAATTCAGTAACTGTTTTAGTTATATTTTAAACTTTATTAATTTATTGGTTACTTGCAAACAGTGGGTTTTCAGTGGTTTTATGGAGAGCGACAACTCGAAATGTAGAATAGATCGGAAAAATAACTTTTGGATAACTTCTAGGGGATGGAGAAAATTCGTAGTTCAGAATTATTTTAGCAATACTTTTTTCCTTGACTTGAATAATTCTCTTGTGAAAAAAACCATGTAAACAGCGACAGCAACAACCAGTCACATTCTATATCGATGGAACAAGCCGTCATCCACTTGTAAAGAAACTCTAATAGCTCACATTTGTGTGTCATGTCCTGATAATATTGTCTGTAAAGACAGTGAAAGCTTGAAAACTAAAACATCTTCAGAGGACATAACGCTCAAATTTTTCTGTCATTCGTGATCTCAGAGGAGCATTTGTGTTTTATGACCTTGACCGCATCTTGCCGATAAATAATACTTGCTAAACTTTTCTTCAATTCATAAGATAGTTTAAAAATCACAGCACTCACTTCATTTTGAAAGTTAGGTAGTATTTGAAACCATCAACGTATGTATCTCAAGTGTCTAAATGAACCTAAACTCCTACGTACATAAACTTTATGTACAACTTCTTCCCACTTATAGTTTATACTATATGTATCTTTTCAGAACGTCCTACTATTCGTGGACGAGGTCGCGGTCTTGTTCGTGGCCGTGGACGCGGTGGACCTCGAGGACGTGGTCGTGGTCCTCCGATGCGTTACTAAAACCTTTCATATTATGTATATGTCTAATCATCGAGTACTATCCCCACAATTTTATTTCAACAATAAAAGTTTTGTATAAATGATTTATTTCTTAAATGAATGCTAATTAAGCTCGGGTTTTTAGTTGGAGGGGTATGTTTTATCCGTTCAAATTGCAGTACTATACATTCATAAAATCTGTTTCTGAACAACATTATATACAGTAGGTACTGTGTAGAAATTAGCGTATTTACCAAGTATCCTCTCTGTTCTGTAGTATGGCGCTTTAATCGATAAAGACTTATGAAGTGCGTATATCTGAAAAAAATCAAGCAGTAATAATAAAATAATTGTTAAAAGACAGTTTAAGTTTTTGATGAACTCAGTGAAATTTAAATGACTATTATGATAAACAGGACTTTTAGGCTGTGAAGTTATAGCAGTCTTTCAAAATTGTACATCCAATTCCTTAAGCTAAAACACCAGTTATCTTAGAACAAAATGATCGATCTATCTAGTCTGGATGAAAATGAGGGTTATCCTGTGTTTTGAAATGGAGTAATGTAATGAATTATTGTGTTGTGTATCTTTAGCGATTAGTTTGAACACGACTTTGAAGTGTTGGTCCGGTTTAAGCAACGGGTGACTACCTTGCACCTATATAACTCATACCCGAGCTCGTTAGTATTAGCTTGTACTGTACTGGTACGTTACATCTATTGAAATCAATATAGCAAGTTTAGGGCCAAATAATCTGCGTTGCAACTACGCTTGAAGCATCTTGACACAGGATTATCTGTTTGAAGAACGTGTGGTTTGCTACTACTAATGCTTCCGGAAGTGCTAGTGTTTTATTTTGAAATGACATTTTATTACGAAATCCTGTGGGTTTATACTAACCTGTCGACTACTGAACATCATTCTCTTGGCAATTTGGAAGTTGAACCCTTAGTTACAGTGTTCATGAACTGAGTTAGTAAGCTTTTGCTTTTATTGTGTCCTTGAACGGCAGAGTGTGCCATTAGCGAACCACGGCGACTAGGCATGAAGTTTACGCTAATCACTTCCGCTGCTATTTTTGAGGGACGACGTCGCCCAGAGATGAATGTGTTCTTTCGATTGCGTTTGCGCTTTTTATGCAATTCACCTTCATTACCGTTAACTGTATTCTGTTTGTATGGATCGTTTATATTATTGTAATCCTTCATAGATTCGTTTACATTTGAATTATGGGTCGCTGTAAATAAGTTGTCAGATATCACATTCGAGGCATCCCTCAAGGCAAATTCTGACTCACTGGAGTCGATATCCTCAAAATCATCAACTTCTGGCTGTCCAGTGATGTAAAAATCTGGGTCCTGTTAAAAAGTTAAATAATGATAAAGATTATATTAGCTGGTGATTAGTCCTAGTATCCCTAAAACTGTTCAGAATTGTTTTATAAGCGAATCGCGATACTAATACACCATTAAGAAAAAAAGGCAGGTGTCTCAAGGAATAAAGAACTATTCATCACAAACTCAGTACCTATTTTAGTAATCTTGTTTGGTATTTTGAACCTTAAGTTCGCGAAGTGTTTATACGTTGTTCATCCGCTTCCTGATATTTATGGTCGAATTAAGTGCGATGTAAGGTTACTCATAAACTCTTGGTATAGCCAGACTACCATAGAAAGTCCCATTTAGCAATCTTATTCACAGGCGTTGTCAAACTGGAAGATAAAGGGAATGTTTTAATTAGTTCACTGACGCACATAGCCACAAGTTAGTACAAACTACATTTTATTTGTATAGGATTTCATTCAGTACCATGGTATTGATTTGCTTTTAAATAAATTAGCCTCTACAGGTTCGCATCCAAAGATAGACGATACACACCAGGTTATATCTTGTACTTTCTGTATTGCTTATGGGTATTAATGGATTTAGTTAGTTATATGCTTCCTAGTAACGATAGTGCCTATCATACCCACAAGATATCGGTTACTGGGATTACGGCCATTCTAGTTTTCAACCTATATATCCAAAGTATAAAGCTGTATTACATACGAAGTAATTTCTCAGAAATCCTAGCGAAAATATTCATTTAAATCGTCTGCAAATAAACTTTCATTTGATTTATACCATCTAGCTTACTTCATCAAAGTCTCCAGTAGTCATTGAACGTTTAACTGTGGGATTTTGTTCCAGTTTAAATGGATTTACATTGAACTGACCGCTAAGGCAAGGATAGCCTGATGTGGTCTGTGCGGATTTTTGTGGTGATGAGTTTCCTGATCTTGATATTGAAGCACAGTTTAATTTGGACTCACAAGACATATCTTGAAATTCATTGTTCAAATCACTTAGAGAAGAATCGATCCCTAGTTCACCTTGACTGCATCGTTGTTTCAACTGTCTAAGTAGAATACAGAATTCACTGCGTAATTTTGCCAATCTCAAGTTATTTGTTGTTGGAGACCCGACCATATTTTTAACGTTGGAAGATTCCTCCAGTTGTCTTTGAACCCATCGAAGTTGCTCCTGAAGCTATAAATATCAATATTTAACTCATAAGTAAAATGTGATACGTTATGAAATTAACATGACATTTACTGACGAAATTCACTAGTCACTGAGTACCAGTTTACGTTGCACAGATTTAAAATTCCTTCGCTAATTATGTGAGCGATGTTAACAATTAACCATTCAGAGCTGTAAATGAAATAACATCAAATCAGTCTTGCTAGTACAAATCCAACTGCTCTTGGGTCCCTTGTAAGGTTAATTCATTTTTCGTTATGTTTATCTATTACATCCCAAATCGTTTAATTTTTAATTCAATACTCCGTGACCAGGTTATTATTCGTCAACAAATTTCAGTAGTATACAAATTTATTGCAACTGTTTGGTGACATCTTAGAGTTCTGTTCTAAACAATCAACAAAATGATATATTCCTGAGGTGCTCAGACAAAATCCTGTTTTTTCTTTATTAATGTTCTATGAAGAATCCTAAGCAACCGAATAAAAGACATCTATGGAATCAATGTTTATGCTTCATTGCTTTATTAATATAGGTACATAAGCGTAATCCACTCACCAATTTCAACCTAGGCTTTAACTAACTAACAGATTACTACAGTAGAGATAGAGGAAATAACAGTAATGGTTTCAGCATTTAGATACCTGTGAAAAAATTATAGGCCTAAATTATAGATAAAAGAACTTTAGTTAAGTTCATGTAACAAGAGTAAATTATACGAGTTGTGAGCAATCAAAGTATTCTATTCCTTTATAGTTTGTCTAAAAAGTGACAATGAACAAATGAAAACTGTTTTAGGACGAGATAAACTAATTTCCTGTTGATTTTATTAAAGTAAACAAGTAATAAACCCATTCACAGGACAAGAAAGATTGATGAATGTCTGACATAGTGAATACAATACTGATGAGGCTGATAATATAAAAAGATTTTTTAAAGTATATTAATGAATGATTACCAGAAAAGTAATGTGAATTTTCTGGATAGAAGTCCTTTTCTTTACCATTTACTTACGTCTGTTACCCCTCATGGAGGAAGATAGACAGTCCACCAGAATTCCCCACCCAACTCTGCCCTGGACAGTACTTGATTATTCCTGTAATATATGTCCTGTTCACGCCTATCATCTTCCCTTAATTTCTTCTCCAGCTGGAAGCTGGCATTTTCTCTCCCACAGTAGACTATTGCTGATGATATGTGGCCAGCGGACATTGAGTATCTTGCGTAGACAGTTGTTCATAAATACTCGTAATTTTGATGACGGTTGTGGTAGTTCTCCTAGTTTCAGCTCTGTACATTAGAACTGTCTTGACGTTCGTGTTGAAGATTCTAACTTCGACATTGGTTGTTCTGATTTCCATATGTTCTTCAACTGTGGGAATGCCATCCTTGCTTTGCCAATTCCTGCCCTTGTACATGTTGAGGATGGCTGGTGTCATTTACTTTAAAGTTATCACAAACTGGAGTTTTAAAATCACGTATGAGTTTCTGGAAATTAGCTTGAAGTATTTCTCGAAATAACATTCATATTTTCCAATTTTTAATCCATGAAATTTTAGCGGTAAATATTTCAGATACAATTACACAGGATCCAAATGACTACTTTTGACAGTAGAAGTAGTGTGATTTAAATTTGAAAATAACACATCTATGTGGTTAGCCACATAATTACCTCAAATATCAAATGGATTTGAAAGTGAAATTACGAAATAAATAATACACAAATAAAAAGTTTTTGCCACTGAAAGAAAGCCGGTAGAGAATTATTGAAGCTGATGAAGTCATAAAATCAATATTCTGCCTTAATTTGAGATAATTATGCGATAAACAGAAAAGAAAATCGTGATTTACTGGCTAAAGTTATGAAGCCCATATCACATATGTTGTTCGTTGAATACATCTTATTAGGATATAAATCTCAATTTTTATAAATATACAAATAAATCCGACGAACCACAACATACGTTGGATTTATAAATTCATGTTTTCTTTCATGGGCGGCTGATATATATTATTGCTAATAAATATAACATGAGTAATCTTAGTTAACAGTAATTTAAGGTACTTAGAACAGGCACATTGACCAGCAGAACTCAATATTTATGCTTGAGCCGTTGAAAAACTGATAGAAAGTTTTAGCTTTGCTCCAGAAGCCTGCTTGTTTAGAAAACAATTGCGAATGAGGAATTATTGAATAACCGTTTAGTCCGTGTACAGGACTTTCCAGCAGCGCGCGCTTATAACCTATTGAATATTCGAATACAGGAAATTCGGGACTTGAAGGCTTTATATCCTTCTGATCGATCTGTGGTGCTTCATGGATAACTATTCCTGAGCAATCATTTACTAGAACGAAGCAAAAAATACAACACATTCACTTATATTTAGAAACAATGCATTTATCAACATCAAATAATAAACTAACCTGTTCAATAGGTTGACCAGCTTGATAAGGTGGAATTGATTTACTTCCATCTGATGAACACGACAGAGACTGAGCTTTATTAATCTTACCATTAGATTGTGTAAACTGACAAACACTAGGATTATATGACATGTATTCTGAAGTTAATTGTTTACATGATGAAATGTCTTCCTTAGGAGAGTTTAGTTCATCCGTCAAATTAGTAGTTGAATTATCAGTCGACATTTTAAATATTGAAGAAGAAGTAGTAGTAGTGGTAGTAAGGTTTGCTTTTTCATTTATCGATGATATTTCATTATGTAACACTAGACTTGGATTTAATGATGGACTCATACTGATTGCAGACAGTGCGGATACAGACGACTCAACATTTGAACTATGACGTAACCAACGACTTGTCATACTAGGTACATGACGTCCAGAAAGCAGTTGACACATCTTGTTAAGCTTTTAAAGAAATTGAAAAATATCACAAAATAATTATTACATAGATAAATAATGGTTTTATTAAATATTTTGTTCATTGTACCTAATGGTAAATGAAATAATATATAAAGAGATGCAATCTGTAATTATTAATGTACTTATTAATGTTTTGTTTTAAAACATTACACATAGACTATGTCATTTGAAGAAAACGATATATGAGCAAAATAAACTATAATGAATAATAACTCATATATTCACTGCATAATTTACCAAATTTTTCATTACCACTCTCCGTTACTTGTTATATTCTCATATAATATACAGTTTGATTAAAAATAAAATAATAATTTTAGCAGAATAACATGGATTAATTTGTTTATCACGTTCTCTTTTTAACTATCCACAACATATAGAGAATAGTTTGAATTTAATTGAAGTTCAGTGGCGAATGATTTAAATTGCTGGTTGTATCTGTCATAAAATGATTGCCGTTCAAGTGTCGTTGAAGAATAAACAATATTGTAGGCTTAACTATTAGAACCACTAGTTCAGTGTTCGATGATAAAAGTCCAACTTCAATCAATTTGCGATATAATCCAATGATCAATCAATGCCATTGGTGATAATCACTGTTTCACACTCAACTTGTCTAAACTCTGAGAATCACGATTTTACACTAGAACTTCAAGAAAATCTTGGTGTAAGTCACTGTAGTAAGATCAATCTGTGACGAATAAGCCCAAATAATTAAATGAACCTTTACTAAACATTATCAACTATACAATGATATTGAGCTACACAGATTAACCAATACGATATAAAGAAATATTGAGATGAAAAAATGAGTTTAACTTGTGTAAGATGAATTTGAGAAATTCATATAGTAATGCATCATAAAAGAATGACTAATAGAAGTAAGAAAGTGAAAAGTATGGGAGAGGTAAGGTTATTCGCTAAATTACAGTAAAATTCTAACACCCTTCCCCACTAAAAAAGGAAAATCAAAAAACTTAATTGTGCAACCACGTGACTTTTGAGTGTATTTAATACATCAATACATTAAAATAACAATATATTTACAAGATGATTCGCCCGATAATACAGGTAAATTTGTTGTGATGATTTAATTTACTGTGTCCTCTTCTTAGATAATTCTAACACACACACACACATGAACATGATCTATTACTTAACAAAGTTTTTTAAACATTCCATCTAATTTTGACTGAATTCACGTTTATATTTTGTTTAGATTTTAAAAAGATTTACTTTCTGTTAATTTTTCTTTAGGGAAATAATAAAATAATAATAATAATAATAGTGATAGAATAAACATGATCAAAGTTTTACGTAATATACTAGAAAACATTACGAACAGAAAATAATTCTCTCTGTTGGATATCAAACCAAATCAAATCATGTTAGAGGGTTAACTACACATTACTTACACCGCTTACCTCAAGTCTTGAAAGAGGAACTAAATAGCAAATAAAAAATATAAAAAAAGTCTAAAAACGGTGATTTTTTCTGAAAAAAAATTATTATTAAAATTAAATGATAAGAAAAGAGAAATTTTGAAATGTTTTAGGTCTTGTACATTTCATTTCATATCCGCTTACACAAAAACAGTGCATATTTATGTGGTTGAATATTTTCTTGTTTGATCTTGGGTATAATAATAATAATTGTTATTATTATTACTAGTATTGTTATTATTATTAATATCATTGTTATTATTAAAAAGGTAACAAGTGTAAGACAAAAACGGGTCAATAAAATAAATAGTTTGTTCTATCTGTGCTATTAGCAATTTAGTTAATGAACTTATATATAATGAATGGCATTTAGAAAAATGACCTGTTTGTTTGAATACCGAATAAATTCTATAGTCTATTGCTACACAATAATAATTATTATTACTGGTATCAGCATAATAGGAAGCTGGAATTTACAAAACGAAAGCATATATATGTATATTTACATTATCAGAATAAATACAGACAGTTAATAACAATGTAAAAAATTATGTAAATAAGTATAAAGTTTATTCGAAATTTGTTAGATTAAAGCAACATTTAGAAATTGTTCAAACAAAGTATGTATGTGCATATATATTCTGAATTTATAAAAAAGTAGTTTCGTATAGTTCAAAAGTTTGATTGAACTAACTACTGGTCTGTAAGTGTAAATAATTCGATTGAGAATACTTCAATTATTGTTTTCAATCAAATATGGAAGTAACTTTATACAAGACTGTTAACCTAATCGATTTGTGGAAATTAGTTACATTTGAAGACAATTATTAATATCAATTGACATCGGAACACAGAGAATACCAGAAACCTATTTTATGGTATAAGACTACATAACAGTATGCGAAAAGTGCTTCGTATAGGATTCAAATCAACACCTTTAATTCTCATTCATGACGAGCATAATACACTCAACCTAGTGAGCCGAGAGTCAAAGATCATTTTCCATTTAAAATTAATTCATGAATATCAGCTATTATTGTCGACAATAGTGTGCAGTTGAACTCTAACAGAACCTTGAGAATCCATTTTAAAACTCATCACTGATGAGCGGAAAACCATTATTAGGTTACATTTAAATGTATTAAACTCGTTTATTAGATCTGATAGCATTTGTTCAATCCTGTTTGAAGTTATCAGTACACACTACGAAGAAGTCTCACACCATAACAGAAAATGTTTCCTGATCTCAATGGTTTTCAGTGTGGCTCCTAAGAGCATATTAATAGGTGAAAACCAAAGTTAACTTTAGCTAAGTTAACATTAACTAAGTTTATTTGATTTCATGGATAAATTAATTTGGATACGAGAAAAAGAGAAAAGAAGGCTAACTTTCCTTTTTCATTTCCACTCAACCAATATTCTATTTTTATTTTTATTTAAAAGAAACATAAGGAATAAATTATTTAAACCAAAAAGAAAAACAAAACACAACAACTGATTCCTTTTCTAACTAATTCCCTCTCTCACTTGTTCATAAAATAACATGGAAAAAAAATAAATCTGTTTGCTTTCAAGAAGTAAATTCTATCATCTATATTTGTTATAGAACAAAAAATATATATAGGCTAAAATTTTGCAGTTAATTGATAACAAAGAATTGAAACAATTAGTGAATATGTGATAACTCTCATCAAAAAAACAAACAAAAACCAAACACCTAGTTACGCATAAACAGATGCATAGTTACATGGACATTTATAACAGTATTGCATACGTATAAATATCTTCTTCCTTTTTTAAAATATAAAAAATCAAAACAGCTGTGTAAATACACCTGGTGTGTTAAGTGTTATTCTCCAATTGAAAAAACACAAGTTTTGGTAGAAAAAAAAACAAACAATTGAAAATATGTACTATCATAAGACTGAAAGGAAAAAAAAAACAACAACATAGAATAGATAAACAAGAATAATTTCTTCGGGGTAGTAAAATTTAGTTTGCAAATAAAATACTACTAATAATATTACTAATATTAACATATCAATTGTATTTATTTTGACGTTCTCTTCCTTGTATTTAATATTATCATGTCATTCATATTATTTATAAATATGTATATATATGTAAGCAACTTTCTATTTTCAGTATAAACTCATGAATACAAATTTATCAATGGAAGTATTTATTTGTATTTATATCATTGATATGATTTATCTCTTCTTTTCATATATTGTTCTCTAATGTTGACTATTATTATTTCGATATACTTGTTATTTATCTTGTAAGTTTCATCACACCAGTTTAGAGACTTGGACTGATGCATACTTTCTTTTTTTTTCTTCTCATCATCTTAGGGTTTATGTTGATAATGACCGATACAAATTATGTTTCAATGATGATATTATTTATGTATTTATATAGAACATTGAAGTTGTTAATATTATTATAGGCATTACAAGTAAATATCAATTTATATCAGATGGGTTTTGCGGATATCATAGTAATTTCAATGGTTAAGATCATGAGTCATTTGAAGCTAGACCACCATGGAAAACCCGGAAGCACTGGACAGCCCTTTTGTCTTATTGTGGGACTCCTCAGCCGTCGCATCCACGACCTCGCCCCATGCGAGATTCGAAACCAGGATCTACTGGTTTCGCGAGCGAGCACTTAACCACAGCTGAGGAGTCCCACAATAGGAAGAAACGGCCGTCCAATGCTTCCAGGTTTTCCATGGTGGTCTAGCTTCAACTGACTCATGATCTTAACCATTGAAATATCAATTTAAACAATAAAATTAATTCATTTATAAATTGGAATTTATTCAAAATTATAGTACTATTAATTTCGATAATAGAATTAATCTCCTTAATTTTAATAAACTGAAAATGGTTTAGAATTTTATAAAATTTATGAAAAACTGCTTATTTAATTAAGATAACATTATTGTAGAGAGATGTAAGAAATAAAACTAAACAAATTGTTAGTTGATACAAACAAGTCACATTATAATAAAGATGTTTATAAGTGAATCATTTGAATAATTATGAATGAATTTATGAAATTCATGAGATTGAAGGTGAACCTGCAAAATAAAGTCTCTGATAATTGACATGACCTATTATGTATATATAGTTTTATGTTGAAACTAACATGATTATACTTTTCGTTTGAAATAAAAGACTTTGGAATATTATGTAATATTATCTTACTAAAAGGTTTATTTTAATATTATAAACATCAATCGTTTATCAAATACAAATCTTTGTATAAACACTATTTGAATTACACCAATAATCTCATATGAGGGTTAAAGTCGTTTATCAATCAATTGTTCAAACTGAATTATAGAGTGAAGTTTAAAACAGATGTTGCCGAGTAGTTGATATTCATGCGTTTTAAATATTTTAACAATCGCTATTTTCCTTGAACAATCAGAAAAATAATTAATTTCAGTTAATAGAATGTGTTTTCCAACCTTTACAAGATTTAAAACAGTGTTTTGTGCTCATATAAGTGAACAGAATGAAGTTGAAACATAGAACACTAAATACACATACTATTGATTTATGTCCTTTTGTGTTGTAATTTACGTCAACTTTTTTTCTAACTGAAGAGGATAGTTAATCACAATGTGATAAGATAACAAAGTATAAATTTCATCAATTAGGATGTTGTTCAAATCAGATAAAAAATAAAATAGGGAGAGATGAATTGTTGAGACTATATTTTACGGACGACTTTTGAGCAACGCTAAAGTGACCTTTAGAATGTCCACATACTAACTAGGACCAAATAAGGGTTATAAACCAGTGTGAAGAACTACAATTAAGATTTACTCTCAATGGTTAAAGGTTAAGAATTAGATTTATGATTTTCATCACGAACTAACATCAGCTAAAATGCCAAAAACTCTCTTTAACCAAATAGATGACTGAATTTCGCGCCAAAATCCAAGACCTTTTGTCTTATATCTGATTGATTCGTTCATAAATTATAGTCTTGAGGATTAATTAAATTGCATAGATTTAAAAAAAAATTATTCATGAAAAATTTGGCTTCTTTTTTCTTTATTGTAAATTCTTTAATAAAATAAAAACAGAAATCAACTATTTATGTACTAAGATATTTGTAAATAAATATCTACATAAGATTTAATCGTAAATTCTTAGTTGTATTAAATTTGTTGAAGTGAATAATAGAATATTAAAAAGTAAAGACAAGTTAGCATTATCTATGATAAGTCGTGTAGGTTGAAAGCTATATACGATTCCTAAGCTATTCCCGTAACCCGCAAAGTAGAACTACACAGCGACTTGAACTCCAGAGAGAAGACACAAGTATGAGAGAAAACACTTTATCCCAAGGTTCCTTTTTTGTACAGAAAATCAAGGGTATTTATAGATGTTGGCGTCTGTTAAACCAACATCATATTTCAGCCAATCCGTTAACGTCATATTATGCTACCGACCAATGGTAGCACGCCGCGCTGGAATTCTCGAACGTTCCATCATACTCTGATTGGCTAGGGCCCTTCGGCTCCTTTTTGGGCCTTTGGAGGCTCCGTTGAAGTTCTCCGGAAACCGGCCCAACTATCTACCATAAATACAATTTTATGTAAGCTAGTCTTTAAAATTATCTAAGATTATAAACAGTTTAGCATACCACAGTTGATTGATCACTGGGTGGCGATCAATGTCATGCGTATCCAGTCTTTATTAGTGCAGATCGAATGCAATAAATCATGTTGCAATGTGGGAACTATATATTGAGATTAGATGGTGGTTGGAGGTAGTCGACAGTTTCGAGTCACCTAGACTGGTGGCCACACTGCAACATGATCGATAGCATTCGATCTGCATTAATAAAGACTAGACACGCATGACATTGATCGCCACCCAGTGATCAATCAATCGTGATTACATATCAGTCCTACAGGAGGTCAGTTGCGGCTCGGATAGCTCAGTGGTAACGTCTCTGACTGTGAAGCTGGGTGACATGAGATCGAATCCGCCAGGGAGCACCAGTTCCCTCAAGATTACAGGTACACCTTGCTGACGAGTGCCAAGTAGCACGAAACCCAGGTCCAGGGTTTCCTGTCGACTACCTCCAACCACCATCTAGTTTAGCATATATATATATTTTATAATTCTTCCATTAATTCTTTAAAACGCTCATAAACAAACAACTTGAATGTTCAATAGATACATATTATTAGTGAATTTCCTAATTTGTGATTAATTACATCATACACCATATTTGTTTCTTTTTAAAAAAAGTGGACATAAATAGTAAATGGACGAAAATTTATTTCTCTTTTTGCTTGTATTTCAACATATGCTTATATATATATACTTTGATATTTCCAATTATTAATGTTTAAGTCTGTTTTCAATGGACGAATATCTACCTATGTATAAATAAATGTACAAATTCTAACACTTTATAACATAGCAAAACCAACAAATATGTATCGTCATGCGAAAATGTTAATAAAAAGCAACAATATTTGAAAATATGTACATTTATACATGTCAATTTATTGACGCTTACAAATACTACTTATTTTTTTTTAGTTTAATAATTGAATTGAAGGAATTCTATGACATAAAAAGTCAGTTGCTTTCACAATTCATTAGAGGTTTACATAAAACATTATTTATGTCATGCATATAATATCTAAATAATATTAAGTAAGGTATGTCATGATTACAATTTCTAAAAATATAAGAAAAGGAAAGGTAATTAAAACTGATATGACAATTTCATTAAAATTTTATACTTATTTCTGGACAAGATTAGATTATTTATATTCTAAATATACATACGGCTTATAATTAAAATTCAAGCTTTACTGCTTGTGTGGGTATTACAGAATGAGGAAATTTACTCTATTATACTAATCAAGCATCTCTACGTTTGTGATGCTAATGACAAGTCGAAATAATATACAAAAATAATAAAAACCGAATGCTTTAAAATAATAATCCTACGAAATAAGCAGTATGAAAGTCAAGGAAAACTGTTGAATTTTGTTGATATCATGAATTTATCTATGTTGAACAAATATTGAAAACGTGAAAGAACTGGACGAACGTTTATGCTAGTATTGGACTTCTCAGCAGTATATATCTATGACTTCATTATTGGAAAACAAACTGAGTACCTTTGTTCTCCCAATCTTGCAGATTAATTAAAGTTAAACTTCCACACCATTGGATCATGCCTCAGGGATCTAAAGGCTAAATATCCGCTCGCAAAACCCGGAGGCTAGTGGGATGGTCGTGGGTGCTAGTACTTGGGTAAAACAACTGTTCAGTGCTTACAGCTTTTCAATGGTCTTCTAACTTGGATCAGTTCGTGATCTCAATAAGACCTTACGAAATTTCCTACTATATATGTATCTATCTTGGAAAACCTTCATAAAAACATATTCAACGGAAAAAGAGTGAAAAATTATTTTCGAAAGTAAAACAAATAAATTCAAACGGTCAACACAAAACCCAACCAGATATGTTCATGTTGATAAAAATAGAAGTACTTATTGAAGAAAGTAGACAATGAACAAACTATCTCAGTTGCACCATACATATACTTGGTTTACTTCAATCATATTCTAATACCTGTTTTTTTCAGCACATGACATTCATTTTGTAACGAAACAGATTTAAAAACAAAAATCGTGTAAGAGTAAATCGTTTTAAAATTTTATCAACAACATTTAACACAGTCCGAAGTGAAGAATTATTGATTGTTTTCTGGTCTTCTTTTTTCCATCCAATAGTGTTTTATTATCTTAACTGTTAAGTACCTCAATATTTAAAGACATGTTTCTATACAATGACCTAAAGCCCACAAAAATAAGCATTCAGATGTTGTTGTTCTGTATTCCGAAATTAGTTCAGTATGGATTTCCAGAGTTAGTCTCATGGAGATACTTGAATTCAGAATGTTGGCTTAAATGCAGTGAATAGATGAAATGTCGGCTTTGAATTGGATAACTAGTTAATTTCCTAAAATTAGATTTTAGAAACAGGATTTTGGATTGTTCAGTAAACGACCCAAAAACTAATCGAAACATGATATTCAATGAACATTCAAATGATATCTTCTCACGAAACTGAATAATTGATGTAAGCGCATGATTGATCTGATACTAGAAGGTAAGAGAGATCCTCAGCTGAATAGAGTTATCTTCATATAGCAAAATCTTAAGTAAAAGAGCGAGTAAGATTAGAAATTACTTTAAAAACTGAACAATCAGAAGAATATGGAAATCAATGGCTATTACCAATAATTTTTGCTGTCCTATCATATTAGTTACACTACATTATGTTAAAAATTGCATTTCAAATTCATGCTAATAAAGAAAAGTTCACATTCACTATACAATTTCAAATGTGAAGAAGGGAACAAATCAAAAACCTCCGTTTCTTCATTTAATTGAAAAACTATCGATAGATATGCAGTAGTCTGCATTTACGAGGTTCAATTAATTCACGATACATAATGACAATTATCGAATATCATTGTTACATTCTGAATTCAGTTGACTACACCAAGGGTAATACCTTTTCATGAAAAGTGACCGACATCTATCTTGAAGAGACCAGTAAGTAATGTATTACTGTTTTGTCAGGCTTTAATGGAGTTTTATTGTTGTCGATAATCAAATCTTTTTTTAACTTCCAAAAATAGATTCACTTTTTATCCTTAAGGAAATACAAAAAGTACATACACCGTATAAAAAAAATTGTAAAAAGAAAATGTTTTAATTGAAGTAAAAAAATTGTACGAAATATTTTCTCCAATGAGATAAATTTTTAAAATAATTTAATCAAAATGCAACTATTTTTTGTTGTAATAAAACATAAATAAAAGTAATATTATCCATTAACTTGAAAGTAATTACCTGTGATTTAATACCTGATATAATTAAATCCAAATTTGGATGAATAGATTGTTTTGAACTTGCGGAGAATGTCAAAGATAATTGTCCGGCATATGTTGTAAACGTGACACATAAATCACGACAAATATGTACAATGGTTTCATTGGAAGCAGATTTATTAATTCCATTATTTAATTCAGGTGATTGATTGTTTGCAATAAATTCTGACGGTATATTCACTGGTGAAGGCATCCAAGTATCAATACGAATAATAGGACAACCAGCTATATACATAATTCCAGCATTAGCATTCACTAAATGACGAGCTAATGCACGGAAACTTGTTCCTAAACGAGGTGGATAAACTGATGATGTTGCTGTTGTTGTTCTTCGTGGAAGACGTCTTCTCAATCTTTGACGTAGTATACGAGCATCCGAAGATTTATTAGCTAATAAAGACATATATGCTAGTCGTCTTGATTTAGGCATTTGATATGAATAATTAGAATCTGTAATTTTCGACAAATTTGAAGTAGTTGTATTAGTGGCAGTTGTTGAAGTAGTAAATGGTGATATTACTTCAACACCAGTTATAGTTACACTGCCTTTCGCTAGTCCACCATATGTTGTTTCAATCCATTTTGCCACAGAATGTGGCATTAAAGTATACAATGCTGTACGTGCCCATGCTAAACATAAGGAATCGACTGATGTATTCACTTCAGTTAGACGTTGTTTTGTCTCCCATAATCTAGGTAACATACCTTCTGTATTAATTGGTAAACAAAATTCAGTTAATACATTTCTACCTGGGCATAAATTTCGTGTTGCAGTTATGGAGGTGGTATTCGGTGAACCTAAAGCTACCATTCGATTTGTATTTCCTAGTAAGCCAGTTTCCACTGTATTATTATCATGATGTATTCGTTGTTGTTGTTGACGACACGGAGAAATATTCAGAAAATCAAGATTACTACTTGTTCTAACTCTTTGAGTTATATTTAAAACACGTGATAAAGTTGTACATGGTGGATCTTCATTATTGTTACAATTGGAAACAGATACTGATGAAGTATTCAAATGACAATTTGGTAAAACAGGTACTTCAGTTGATAAAAATGCTAACAAATCAGGAGGATGTTTAAATCCCATCGTCTTGAAAAATATGAAAAAAAATTGCACAATATAATTATTATAATTTATATAAAGTAATAAATCATTTAAACAGATAGCCTTCTAGATTTTTTACAACATACAAAGAATTAATATAGACGAATTCCCATATTACAGAAAAAACAGAATTCTGTTGATATTTGAGTTAATCAAAAGCTCTTCAGATAAATTTGAAACAGCTGACAAAATATTGTTGATTGTTATTTTATTGAGTTATTCAATTAGATTGTGGTAAACCTTCTTCTGAGAATGATCAATTGATGATTAAAACTTAGATTAACGAGTTCAAGGTTCGTAAGTAAGCATCGATCAGCCTATTGGATAATCTTTCTTTACCCAACCAAACATTGATACTGATACTGTCATTTCGACTTCAGAAGTTTGAGAAAGGATGAAGCAGTAAAATCGCAGCCATCTAATGGTATAATACAGTCATCATTACTTGTTAAACCTTTGGTTGTCTTAACTAAGAAAGTTATTTGCATTTCATTAAAACGTGACTGAATATAGAGAGTGATTATTGAAAAGGATGAAAGAATAAGGCTAACTAAAATATTTTATCTAAAAAAGAAAATCATTTGAGACTTAAATATCATTCTACAAAAAGAGAATATAACTAAAGCAAGCAAGTTTCAGAATATCACAATAGTGCATCAAGAATTTCGTGTAATAATTTCTTTTGTTTGATGGAATGCATTTAAAGTTAATATAAACTTCTTAATACAGTGTCGGCATTCAGTTAACGAATAATGAACAGTGACAGTGTGGTGTGTGCTACTTATATCGACATAAGTAGTATATGACGTTACTCGTGAACAGAAGATCTGGCAGCAGACAGACAAGAGGATCGAACAGTAAAGAATGGGAACAGAATGCAATTTGTATGAAAATGCAAGAACAATGAAGTCTGAGTCATTATGAAACAATTGATAGACATTTTGCAAATTACGTATTTACTATTTGATTGATGGATTTTATTAACAAGTCCTGTAATTTTGTGTCAAATACATTCGATTGTTCCTCACTGGTGTTCTTGTTCACTGCAACAGTACAAGAGTTATTAGGGTGTCAAGCTCGATTACTATTCTAGGTTTTCAATAGTGGCCCAACATCAATCAGTTCATAATGTCAATCAAAAACTTAATAATCTCCACAACCCTATAGTGATAATCATTTACCATAGTCAAACAGGTTTATAAAGATTAAAATCCAAAACGCTCTACTTCACCAACACAAAATACATTAATTTAACAGATCTAACGATTATTTGTTCTAAGCAAGTTTAGTATATCTGAGTACCAACGAAACCTCTGAATAGATAGAAGCAAACAAGTTATATGAGCTAACCTCAGCGGAGATACTTTTATTTGGATCGACCAATAAGTTATTTATTTAATCCGAAGGAGTGACTTACATTAAGTTACGAAACGCGGGAAATACAATTATTCTACTCGTTAGGATAAAACAAAGATATATATTCATAATGAATTACATTTATTTTATTTTAACAATGTGTCAAGTGGAACAATTAAGTCAATAAATACAAAATAAAAAATATAAAACATTTGAACTAGAATAGGTAAATGACATTTGATGACTATAGTATACAACATAAAGTGGTCAGTAGACATTAAAATCAATGTTTTCAGTTGACTTCACTAAGATCAAATTAAAATATACTCAATAATATGTCAATTAAGAAGAGATCTTAATTTATTCATGGAATCATCTTAGACTAAACGTACTTTAAGTAGTTACATATATATATATATATATATATATATATATATATATATATATATTAGTGTTCATTGTCTGCATATAAGTTGTAATTTGTTATCTTATCAACTGAAATAATGTTTATTTCAAACTGTGTACAGATTATTATTATATTACATATAAAGAAATATATTGATTGAATAAACGATCTGAAACAGACTAAATTGTTAACTATTGATCACTGAAAAATAATTACACAATCTCCTTTTTTTCACAAAAACGTTAACCACATAATTTGACAAGAATCCGTGTATTTTACACGCAGTTTATTTTAAATACAAAGCGCTTGACATAGTTTTTTAAAAGAAAAAATCTAGATATAAAAGGATAGAAATATGGATTTATTTTTAAATACTAAAATTATATTGATGTTACAGATGAATATGCATTGTGAAATATTTTAAAAGAACTCTACTCATCATAAGTCAATAAATCGCTATTGATAATGGAATAAGTTAACTTAGAAACTATGAATATCGGGTAATATTATGTTAATTATTGTTTGATAGATATCTATCAAAATAATGATTATTCCTAATCAAATTTTTAAAAACACTAAGTGTTTGTTACTTGTGTCACTTATCTATTTATTGTTAATTGTAACATAGTTCTCTTTCTCATATTTTGAATAAAGATTTGTAAGTGTACTTATATGTAGTAGGTAACTATAGATATGTTTCTGTTAAAAATTAATTCTTTAATTATTAGCAAGAGAGCTAAGGAATAAGAAAGTAGATCTTTTTCATGTTTACATATTTATGAAAGTAAAATCTAGAAAAATTGTACCAAATTATCGACGTATTTTCAGAAATCACAATAAATATGGTATTATTAGTAATAAATTTTATTAATAATCGCCAGTATTGTTGTGTCTAAAAGAAATTAAATTATAGGCAACTTCTGGGAACTATTTATGAAGTATTATATATATATATATATATATATATATATATATATATATATATATATATATATATATATATATATATATATATATATATATATATATATATATATATATAATTACAGGCTTTCATTTGACCTATTGGCTATTATTATACAATTTACTATTGTTAAGTTATTCCCGATCTTTTGGTTACAGTCTCTCACAATCACAGCCAATTTTGGCTTAATCTTGTATAATTACTATTTATCATTTTATGGTGCTTGTGTATAAACCAGGTATATCTGAAGTATTTTGATGGAGTTTTGTTCTCTGAGCTGGATGGTTTGACTGTGAAGCTTTCATCGTTCTTCTGAACAACATCATCAGCAAAAACTTCAGATAGAAGTGAAGTGTTCAAACATTAAACCATCCAGCTCAGAGAACAAAACTCCATCAAAATCATCCACCTGACCTACAAATCTTCACCATATCTGAAATATACAATACATACAGTCGAAGCTGGTGTTGTGTTCTGGATTCAAACGGACAGGGCTAGGCAAGAAGAACCATTAAGGACTCGGAGTTGACTCTAGGCTGCTTGTGCTGGTTAACGCATCATTGGTTTGGCACAGGACCAAGGTCATGTAAATCGGTGTTCTGAATGAGGATCTTGTCACATGATATTTCGACAGAGCTAGGGACATAGCAAGTATAATTAAAAGGAATAATCCACAAATGACAAAAAATTGATAAAATAAATAACATAATCATCTCACCTGATGATAACCACGTAATGCTCCAGCTAATAAACTTAAAATTAACTCTGAATAAGATGCTTTAGTAATTTGACGTAGACGACTTAATTTTGCTAATGATAATAAGGCACATTTGTGAACAGTTTTGATATCTTCGTTGCGATTATTATTATTACTTTGATTGTTCTTATTATTTATTAATTTAGATTGTTTAACATTTTGATGTCTTGTAATTAAACCCATATCAGCATTAGTAATAAAATATTTATGAAAAATGATAGTTGGTCCAGTAATCAATACTCTTAATATATCACAAACAGTAGCTATTGTAGCCAATGAACTTGCCCAAAATGTATACCACCATTGTGCAGCTTCTGATTCCTCTGAATCTTCATCGTCTAACAATGAATTCGCGGTAGATGTGCTAGTCATTGTTGTTGTTGTGATGGAAGAATTTAATGATGCACTAATAGATAATCGTTCATTCTGATTAGGTTTTGATTGTATTTGATTTGAATTGAATTTCGTAAATGTATTCAATTGATATTTATTATTAATTGATATATTTGAATTATTTAATTGAGATTGTTGTTCATTTGTTAGTGTAGTCTTAGATAAATCACATGAATGGTAAAATGATGTTGAGTTATATGGTGAAGTAGAATTACGAGATGATTTGATTGTAGTAGACCATTTGGACGCATTTTTATTGGATAGAGATGCATCTAACCAATTATTTTTGAAAAAATAAAAACAAAAAAAAGTAAAATAATATAATTTGAAAATGTATTTCATTGTTAATAATGCACATTTCTCATTTTAGCTTTAATAATGTATGACAGATCAAATGAATGATCACTGCTGTATACACATATGGTTAATATAAATGTATTAAGTAATTCTAACCTCGCTGATTATGTGCTTTGAATAATGAACACTTTGGCTGCAGTAGAACGAGCCACAAATCGAGTTAACTGAATAGATATATCAGTAACATAGACGTAACTGACATTCTTCTTGAGATTCAAATCAATGTCATTAATATTAGAGTCAAAAATGTTGCCACTAATCCGTTAAAGCTTCAATCAACTTTTGGTAAGACTGAAGTGTTTAAAATTATTAACCAGTAAGTAGTAACCTGCATCATAAATAGTTCTTATTGCTGACCAAATCTTTATCAGTCAATTGTACTTATATTATAAATTAATTTATAAAGCTCGATCAGAAATTAGATCAAATATGAATTTCGCAGTTAAATACACAAGACAGATCGTTTATTTTATTACTTCCTACGGCATATTACTGACCTAAATAATCATTTATTTTAATAATATGAAGTTTTTTTGGTTACGCTGAGTTATCTGAGCTAAATAGTTATTATTATGGTTTTGTTGCCGTTATAGAAAACACCAACAACTTCCGCCTAATGTGTTTTCGTTAACACAAGGACACAGAAGATAATGAAACCTGTAAAAATAGACATCCTTCAACAAAGTCGGAAGAACAAACTGACCTAGTGTATGTAGGATAAAAATGACGCTAAATTCTCAGTGAAGTAGGTGTTGTGTTTCCCAGAACGACAACGAATGCTTCACAGTTAAACCATTTCGCTTATAGAACGCAATACTATCAAAGGTATTACCCTGCATAACATGTGTTTCCATTATTTTGACTCTAAGTGCATCGGTAATTTAATGACTTTTTCATAAGAGAATTTGTAACACAGACAGAAATGAACTAGTAATATGCACTGTATACATATTTTAAGTATTAACTGAGTTTTACTTAGTACTAAAAGGTTATCATCTATTGGGGAAAGAGAGAGCTATTGGTGATTCAAGAAATTTTATCCATTTATTTACAGAAGTAACTAAAGCAAAAGAAATTATGCTACCAAAATATTTATATTTTTAGATAAAAGAATAAACTATAAGTTGAACTTTCATTTTTCTTCAAACAAGTAAACAACAATGTATATTGCAAGTAGAAATGAAATAACTACATAAAATCGAAAGGCGATTATTTCCGAAAATTGCTTTTTAATTGTTTTGCATTAAAATTATCACCTGACAACAGTACACAGAAACTCATGAAAATAAAAAGGAATTTTTGGGTTTTATTGACTCGTTTATAGTTCTTATCACTCAATTATAAGCAACATTTAAGTTAATACATATATAATCGTCAGTTTAATTTGCCAAATCATATCAACACAATAAGATGGGTCCGCGTGACTATCGTAACCAATGGTTGGAGACTCTTAGTGACATGGCTCAGAATCGATCACAATGGCGTCGGTGTATACACTCTCTGTCTTCCCTTAAACTAAGAGATTAAAATCGCTTCATACCTTTCTTTCTACGAAAGAAATTTTTTCTTCTTGTACTATATCTCTTTATGCAATCTTTCTCTTATATATTACCACCTTTGACATAACCACTGCTATGAATCCGATGTTCATCTTGTTGTGCTGATGCGGTATGGCAACCTGGACCGATGCACATATATGCCTGATCCTACGTTGTAGCTGACTGACTGACTGATCAAGACAAATGCCAGAATAGTGAAATTATTAACCACATCAGCGGTAGGAGAAAATACTACTCATTGACAACATGTTTCGAGAAGAAAAAATTTGTGAAACAGTGAAAAATGATGTAACTTTAGAATTCACGACCTAAGAAAAGCCAAAGTGTGGATAGATCTGTGCCATTTTTATTGATTCTCAAACATATTAACCATAGTCTACAATTATTGGCCACGACGATTATATAGACCATAATTGTAAGTCAGTACTCATCTAAATTGACCAACTCAACGATTGATGCCGTCTTTAGCTTACTTCTAACCTACTCCTACACCAACAAACACTATGCATCGAGGTACATAATGGTTGGGCACGTGTAATACACATCTTAAGCATCTCAAATGATCAATATTGACTACCTTATCTGTTCTGTTTGTCATAAGCGTTGTCGGTGAATAATAGAAAACATAAGCAAATCGATTACAAATGGGAATGTTACTAGAATATAAAATAACTGATCACTAAGTAAATAGTTTAATAATCGTAAAATCTAAACTTTAAGATTGAATTTAATGAAAACTGTTTATCAAATTAATTTCATGCGAACTATCTTGAAACGTATGAGCAAGAAAATGCTGAAAATATATAAAAGTCTTAAATAAACCGATTAACAAGTTCAATCAGATACTATAAAGATATCATAGCAATAATATGATACAGTTTGAAAATTAACAAATCCATTCTCGCATAGATGGTAACTCATTTTAATAGTTTGATGACAGTTACACTTGTATTAACAAAATTTAAACCACCAATTTTAGTCGTATTCCACAAGCTACTTTATATTTAATTAACTGCTTATTTTTTCTCTTAATTATATAGTTATTTTGTTTAATATGCAAACAAATAAATATGTATCTTCTATTAAAATATAATTCGAACACAATACATATTAAATGAAATTTAACTGTTAATCAACGTTCAACAGCATTGCAGTTAATAAAATATTTAGTTACATTTCGTCTAAAAATATCCTATACATTTTAATCAGTACAAATCATTAGTCAAATAACAAGCTTTTAAAGAAGAACAATTCGATAAACAAACCAGTTTAGACACTTAAAATTTTGAAAAACTAAATTCAAATGAAACAGTACAACCGAATAGAAAAAATTTAACACCTAAAATTAATATATAACTTGTAAATCCAACACCTCTATAGGCAACAACTTACATCAATAACTAAAACTAGCGCTAAAAAAACTACAAAAAACTAACCTAATAAAGATGATAGTATATAAAGAGAAAGTATTTTTTCTCCAGAAAGATGTAATCCTATGTAGTGATAGAAATAATAATAACATGCCTATGACAACATGATTATTTCATAATGATAAATTGTTTTATAAAATGAAATTTCAGCGTAGATAATCAGTTCAACTTTCAAATTCGTTTTAAATAGATAATATACAACGAATTATAAAGAAATTAATAGAATACATGAAGCAACAAAATGAAGTGCTGAGAACAAAGAATATTTATGGTGTGAACTAAAATAGTAAAACAAATTTAAAATAAGATAAAATGTGAAAATTTACATCTATGTCAATTTTGCTTTAGATAGTAATGTGTATACATGTAGTAAAATTTTGATTTTACATTCTGAAAAACGTTCCACAGCATTAACATTCATATACTTAATATAAGTTGTTTTTTATACATAATTTAACGATAATTTTCTCAAATACGTTTCATCAGTGTAATATATGTGTTGTTAGCATGCTTTTTATTTCGACTAAATGAACACTGGATAAAATGTACTATCTAATAGAAACATTTGGACACTTGAAATATTCCTCTGTAAAAGTCTATTACACATAAATGTGTTATTTAATTGTTGATTATTTTTCTGATTTGAGCATATAAAAGAATGATATCAGATATAGAATCTTTAAAAGCAAATAAAATGTGAACTGATAACTTGCTTTAGATTTAAAGTGCTCAACTGTCCTTGCACTTAGATGTAAGCTAGTCAAGCATTAAATCAACCAAATGTAGATTTAACAAAAAGCTCATAGATGACACTCAGTGGTGAAATAACTACATCAGAAAATAACTGAAGTTGAGCATGTGGATCACTCTAATTTGACTTATTGACTGGTTAACTTATGTGTGAAATTTTTGAAAGTCAAATAAATAACAGTAAAATATCAAATCTATAGCAATGCATATTACTTAACCTGTTAATTCATGCAACACCACCAGCTTATAGCAATATTTACAGATTTATATAACTATTTTTTCAGAATAATGAACGTTTAATGTAATTTTTGCTCGATTAGGAGTAACTTTTGACATTTCATTTCTTAAATTACATTTATTAAAATCCAGTAGTCATTTATGCATACACTGGAGATTGTAATTATTCACATTATCATTTTCTATTTATTGAAGAATTTATACATATGTTTATATTATTTCAAATGCAAAGAAAAAATATCAAGTTATGATTGACTTTTAAAATCGTATAAAAACTACAAACAACCTATCTTATTATGATTGTCAAACAAGTACAATGGCGTTAAACACCATTTTATCCATGTATACATGAAGGAATAAATATTATTGCTTTCATCAAAAAAACAAATCATAGCACTTAAAATTTCATTCATATGTTTTTTTCCATTTTTTGCTTTGATACATCGTCAAGTGTTTCAAAATTTTTACCTGCTTTTTCGCCACTTATCGGTCTTTTTTTTACAATGCTTTTTACTACATTATTTGCATTTAAATAGAAACAAGATGACACATGGATGTGATTATTACCTTATTATCGCACACATACGCACACACGCAAAGATATTTAGCGATAATAAAGCAACCGATAATGAAGAAGGTTGATATGATGATGATGACGACAACGATGATAACAACAGTAATAACTGAACACAATTATACAATTAGACAACTGTAAATGTAAAATACACATACAGGTGGATATATAAATGCTCTATATCAACTAAAAGATCACCTGTTATTTGTCTGTTTGTAAGTCAATTTTCCTTTTAAAAATTTTAGGTCAACGAAAGCAGTTTTTCTATTTCTGAAAAAAGACGAAGAGGAGTAAGGGAAAGAGGTAAGAGAGAATATACTAACACATAACTTTTAGATAAATTTTATTATATCCTAATCTTGTGT